ATGTAGGGACCTTACTAATTAGAATAGGGTTTTGGGGTATATTCAATAAGAAACCGCCAAAATGATATAGGCAAATCTTTAAGGCCCCTCTTTTGCTGCGTGCTCCCTGGGAGCCCTAGAGGCGGAAGGGCCGCAGCGCTTCGTAGAGGGACCGGTTGAAGCCTTTCTCGTCGATCCAGACCTGTGCGCGGGACCCAGGCTCCGTCCTTTTCTCGGGACAGATCTTTCCTAGGGCTCTGGGAAGTTAGGGGTAAGTCTTTGCTGGTATCTTTCCGTGGTAACCTGCAAGATGGCACAATGCTCGAAAGGGCTGTCTAGGACGCTTCAACGTCTTGCGACTTGCGACTGACGGGAGGGCTTCTGGCCGGAAAGCTTGAGACGAAAGGTTGGATTCGGGGAGCAGTGCTCAGGGTCAACGGCACCACCGGGTGACGGTTTCCACTGCATGGGCGATGCACATCTACATTCTCTACTACGCACAATAGAAATAGCCATAACTTGGTAACGACAACTTTACTCAGACCGCTTTCTCACAGAGCCTTGTATTGGCGACGCCTTGTCACGAGCGATCATGGCTTTGAGGTTCAGGGTGCAGTCTCCGGGGTGGGACTTAGAGTGCATGTCATAAGATCATGTGGTGGGAATGCGCCGATTTTCCGCGGTAAGCCGAGTACCTTGCGCTCCTGCAACAGAGGACTACAGTGGTGGTATACTAGCATTGCTTTAATGAACCCCTAGATAACATGTGCTGCAGTGGAACATAACCCATGAACCCTAAACCCTAAACCCCTAAACCCTAAACCCCAAACTCTTCCATGGTGTTGGACCTGAAATCCGTCTGTACACAGGGGCATCAGCACTCACTTCATAGCCTGGGTTGTACTTTACGGGCCCCCAAAAGTATCTATGAAAAGGTATCTCTATAGGGCCATAAGGAAAAGCAAAATTTTCCCAAAGCTCCACCTAGTAGCTTTCATCGCCTTCATCGATTTCATGGCGCTTGCTTTCGCCTTGGCCTTTCCTGGTTTGTACATTCCCTGCGCTGCCTCGTACATCTCTTTTCCCACCTCAGCCCAATACTTGGTTCTTTGGGGTTTATATATATATATACATATATACATATGTATCTATATATATATATACATACACATATATATATATACACATCTTCTATAGAAGATGTCTCCACATACATATATATATATATGTATATACACACGCACACCTATATTCTATAGAGTATAACCATTATATTCTAGTCGGGGTCGTTTAGGGGCAGTGGCAGTATGGCCAGCGTGGAGTACATGTGGGGATACCGGTCAGGGCCATGATGCACGAGATACAAAAATATTCCAGATCTAATCTACAGTATAAAAACAAATATAAATACATGAATAAATATAAATAAATAAATATCTGTAGATAGATGATCATCGCCTTCAACCCTAAGAGAACCTCCGAACAGCGGAGCGGGGCTTAGGGCGTCACCACGGAGAGCAGGAAGAGGGCCGGGTGCTCTCGCGACCGGTTGTGGAGGAGCTTCTTGGCGCTTTGAACTGCAGTGATCCAAGGAGCACTCTCCTTTTTGCTGAACCTGAGTTGAGGGTTTAGGGCTTGGGTGGCACCACAACCGTCCTAAAAATAGGTGCTGTGCCCATTCAACGCCTTCTTCGGACACTGTATTCCTCCCGATGTGCCTAAGCTACAAGGGTTCCTCCAAGAATTGGTGTTCCGGGCCGTCAAACTTGATACTGCCAGGGAAACTAGCTCGGTAATTGATTTTTTTGTATTTCTCTGAAGCAACGGCAACCGGCATCCCAATCATTAACCTATCTGTGCGCCATACAATCTTCGTTCATACATGACGGCCTCTTATATACCCTGATCAAACACTTGTTGAGCATCAGGCATTCCATCTACCATTGCATCCTGTTGTGTAGGGGTCATCAAGTAGCGGCAACACCAACGTTTGGGGAGTGGAGTTTCCCTTAACGGAGCTATGAATGATGGGATGGTGAAGGTGAACGTTTCCAAAGCAGACCGCGCAGAAAGATCCCATAAGTTCTCGGCGAGCCCACGAGATCATGAATAAAAGTAGATTTTACCAAAGCGGGAGAGGAGACTAGCAGATGCTCGTGGCATGTGCACCCCACGTGGCTAGAACGGCTTGTCTTGCATAGAACCGCCTGTGATGTTGGAAGGTCCATTCACGCGTAATACCAACGCGTGCCAACAAAAACACTTATCAGATTTCCTGACTTCTACAACTACCGGTTGGACTCTTGAAGCATTGGCATTGTGATTGTGAAGGATGTTGAAGGATTGCCAACCTTCCTGCCCGCAACATAGAAGAAGCTAGATGAGTCAATTACGTTACATGTCAACACACACGAACTTCTTCTTCGGTGCCTTCACTAAACCCTGACAAAGCCCTTAAAAGCCTTAAAGCCTACCCCAAACCCGAAGCCTGCTCGGAGTACTGGGGCAAAGGCTTCTTCAGCTTCCAGTTCTTCTTGCCCACCTTCTTGTACTGTTCCTGAAGAGCTTGAGGGGAGTTGTGTCTTGGGCGTTGTGTGCTCGAGACCCTAGGCAGGCCCTAACAAGACACATCTAACCCCTCCGCCCCACGTAAACCCGCGTACAAGCCTGCTGCATGCTAGACCCCTGAAACCTAACGCCCTGTGCCCGGGTGAGCCTTAACGTGTCCTGGCGTAGCCAAAAGCTTAGCGCGGTATTGAAGAAAAGAGAGCAAAAGAACTCACTCGCACATGACCTAGATATCAAGGTCATATGCTCTCGGCCTTCTATATCCCTGGCGCGATGAAAAGGAAGCACAAACACACGCAGATACCGAAAGGGAGCACGGAGAGCATCTAAACCCTAAACCCTAAACCTTGAACCCTGAACCCTAAATCCTAAACCCTAAACCCTAACCCTAAACCCTAAGCCTCGCCTGGACGGCTTCGTAGAGATGCTTCCCCACCGCCCCAAGCCTGGGGGGCTTCTCTCGGTTACGTCACGAGTGATGATAGCTGAATATAGGGGCCTTAATGATTAGAATTGAGTTTTGGGGTATAGTATACTATAATCATAATCAGGAATCCCCCAAACCCCTATCTCGGCGATGTCTGAAAGTAGCTAGGCCCTTCGATGAGTCTTCTTCCTATCTAAATCTCCCGTCGTAAGTTTCTCAGCATGACCATTGTCACACTGGGATTTGCTATGATTTCTTGGCCTTGAGGTTTCATGACTGCTGTTTCGGGCGTTGCGTAGGATGGTGAGTCGTGTCAATGCCCCCGACGGCGACGGCCTTCTTCAGAGCCAAAAGCTTTGTAGCGCTCCTTGCTGCTGCACAGCGCGCCCAACCCGCAAACCGCTGACTGACCTAAAGGCCCAACCCGTCTAAACCCTTTCTGCCTGAAACCCTCATGCACCCCCCCTCCCATTTTTGCCAAGCCCAAGGGACATGAAGAGTGCCGGATGGTCCCGTTTTCGGACCTTCAACTCCTTTCGGACACTTTGCACTGCCTTGGCCGAGTTCACCCTGCAGCCAACATCATGACATGCCACCACAAGCGTGCTACCTTGGTGCCACTCGCAACGCGGACCCTAAACCTGGTGCTTCACACCTCGCAGAAACTGCATTTTATCACAGTCAGGCTTAGATGAAGAATGGTCGGGTCCACAACGCTGCGGGTCTCCTTTGAGATCCTTAGCCTCAAGTCATGCAGGTTTTGTCAAAGGGGAGCTCTTGGGTCTCAGGCGAAGGCCGCGTTGGCATATCGCCTCTTTCTGGTTCACAGTGATGTTTATGGAAGCTTTTGTGGTGGTCGTTGCTGTTGATGCCTTTGCAGGCTTTTCCTTGAGCACTCAATAGGGGCCTCTACGACTTAGAACTCGAGTTTTGGATATATCGTAGCATGACTTCATCTATGGACTATAAGGATCATATAGTGTACTAACAAATGCTATACTTCACAAAACAGTCAACGCGTACTGCGATACTTCCTTTGTATTGTAACGAGGCCCAAGTTGCAGCTTTCCATGGCGCTTTCTCTTTGGCCGTGAAGGGCTTCCTGGGCTTCCATAATCTAAGGTAAGGGCCTTAACGATTGGAATAGGGTTTGGTTATAGGGTCTACCCATAGGCCCCATAGTATTTCCTTTTGGGATTACCTNNCCCAAAAAGGAACTACTATGGGTTAAATACTATACTACAATGATAGTAAGGAGCCTCCTATAGTAATCGGCAAGGTGCATGTGTTTCGCTGTGTATCCTTATTAGGAAGCCTCAGAGCCCATCATGTAGATGTCGGAACAACTAGCATCGATATCCACTTTTCGTCCTGATATACCGCTACTTTAATCTACCCCATAACCGTCTTCCCATAACCCAAATAGAACTCCAGAAAAGCCAGTGCAGACGCCCGTTTGAAAGCCTTTACACCCGTACGCAAGCCTAGCTTCAGCCCTAAACCCTGAACCCTCAAGCCTCTAGACCCTTAAACCCTAGACCCCCGGCACCTCTAAACCCTAAAGTCCCTACAATGTAGAGGCCTTAAGAATTCAGAATAAGGTTTTTGGGGCCCATTCTACTATAACTATAAGAAGGACGACCCCCAAATAGTATAGGTAATTCTTTAGGCTCCTAGATTTTAATACCCAGGTTCAGCTCCCACTTCGCTTTCTTTGCCTTCGGCGCCATCTCAGCGTCCGAGGGGAAGCGCTAAAAAGAGGGGCCCAGCTTGAGAGACGGCTGCGAAGGGCCAGAAAACCGGAGGGATCTACCTTTTACTCAAGGGAGACCATTCTTTGGGTTTAGGGTTTAGGGTTGCTATAAGGGCTACAGGGTTACTATAAGGGCTACCAGAGGGAATGTAATGTGGGCCTTAATAATTAGAATCGGGTTTTGGGGTATATTATGCCACAACAAGGAACCGCAAAAAAAGTATAGGTAATTATTAAGGCCCCTATATTACTATATGGGCTACTGGAGGGACGGCGTATACTATCAAGGGATGCTATAAAGTGAGACGAAAATAAGAGCTACTAGAAGGCGTGCTGTAAGGGTACTGGAACGGGATACTACACAAGCGATCTTGGGTTGAAGGTTTAAGATGGCTGGAGCAGCCGTCGGGGTTTGGAGGTTTTGAAGGCTTTTCTCTAATATATATATATATATATCTAAACTATTATATATATATATATATAGTATAACATATAATATATATATATATATAATTTGTTCTGGTGGGTCGAACCTTTCTGAAGAGCGGGGACTCCCTCTTTACGTCGAAACCGCACGCGGACTTTGGGAGCCCAGGCTTCCGCGAGGCCCAAAGCTCTGAAGTCTCAAACTCCGCCTCTCCCTCTGCATGAAGTGGAGACAAAGGCAAGAATAAAACGGTTTAGGGTTTAGGGTTTAGGGTTAACAAACGATCTCAAGGCGTCAGGTCCTTCTTAGAGTGGCTGAAAGAAGGTGAGCTGGCCTCACATCCCTAATCTTTGAGCAAAAAGCACCAAACTCTCAGTATTGGCGCGTGCCTTCCCCGGCAGAGGCGTCCGGAGCAGCCATACCTGGTTCTTGACGGCTCGGCTTTGGAATGCTCAGCTTCTAACTCCTCGCAAGGAAAGCAGCTCCGTAGAGTTTCAGGGGCTCTCTGCGGTGTTGAAAATGAGATTTCCCGAGGGGCATGGAAGTAGCGCGTCCAGAAAGCACCGCCGGAGATGGCCCAGGTGGACTTGATGCTCAGCACCTCTCAGGAAATACCGGATTGAGGGTCTTGTCCGTGACGGGGGTTGCACCAGAAAGCGGGGGGAACGGCTAATTATACTCTCCTATACTATACTGTACTATACAGTACTCTACGAAAACAATAAAACTCTATACTGTAATATGGCCTTCTGAGAATTCTGCCAGTTCCAGCAGCCGAAGCTGTGCATGGTGTCAGCCGAGCAGATGAACTCAATGACTGCCGGCCGGCGATGGCAGTCGGCATTCCTCCACACTGGGCTCTGGGTTAGAATCTGTTAGAATAGGATTTTGGGCTCCTTTCTAGTATCATTACAATAAGGAGCCCTTGGGGAAACTATGATTTAGGCGTCTCTATTCGCCACCACAGGAAGCCCAGACAGGCTCTCAGGTTTTGAGTCTCAGAGGCTCCGAAACCTACTTAAAGGATCATGGGACTTAGTAAGTAGGGTTATAACTAAGGTAACTACACTTATAACCCCAATTAGGGGACTTATAACCTTACATCCTTCTTAGTAGGAATTGCGCCAAGGAGCTGCATCCAAAGAATGTTCGCGAGTCCGGTGCCCTGGGGCCCAAAAGCCAGGAAGGCGCTGTTGAAGAGGCGGTACCTACAGGGAGCTCTTCTCCTTAACCCTACTTGAAGGATCATGGGACTTAGTAAGTAAGGGTTATAAGTCCCCGAATTGGGGTTATAAGTATAGTTACCTTCGTTATAACCCTAGTTACTAAGCCCCATGATCCTTTAAGTAGGAGGAATGCGCGACCGAATGTCATGACGAATCCAATAGAACCCTAGCAGGATCCTTTTGTCTTCAGCCCCGTGTACACCCCGAGTTCCACCTTTAACAAAAAAACGCGGGATCCTCACACAACAGGCCTACCGGTCCGTAGAAATCCCATATTAGGGTGTATAATGAGAATCTACAGAAAGGTTGGTTTTGGGTTCTTAAGGTAGAGAACTAAAGGGTCGAGGAGCATAACTAAGGTAACTATACTTATAACCCCAATTAGGGGACTTATAACCTTACCTACCCTAAACCCTAAATCCTAAACCCTAAACCCTAAGGCCTATAACCCTTACTTACTAAGTGCCATGATCCTCCAAGTAGAGAACTAAAGGGTTGAGGAGTCCCATGCCCTAAGGGTCCATATACCCCAAAAAGTATATACTTAGGCCCTAATGTAGTCCCTATATGGGTACTTTAGGGTCAAAGTATATTCATATGGATACATGACCCTTAGGGATAGCTGAAGCCAAGAAGCTATAAATAACCATTGTAGAGTCCTTATATACCCCTTATATAGCCAGGTAGTCTCCATATCAACCCCAATAACCTACAAGGGTCCCTATTAAGGGTCCCAACTAAAGCCTAAACCCTATAACCCTAAACCCTAAACCCTAAACCCTAAACCCTAAACCCTAAACCCTATAATCCTAAACCCTAAATCCTGAACCCTAAACCCCTATGGACCCCTTTTAAAGGACCCCTACAGCCCCCCTTAGAACCAAGAAGCTGCTGCTCGAAGGTCATTGGCTGCCCTCCGCTCTTCCCGTCGAAGACCTCCACGTCACCCCGACGGCCATGTGCCTCCCAGGCCCAAGAAATCTTGAAGCCTTTGGGCTGGAGTACCCCTTAAATCATAATATGAAGCCCCTTATAGTTTAAGGTATATTGCGTAATTAAGGGGTTTTGGGCTTCTCTTACCCCATGACAAACCGACTCAACCCTAAAGCTTCAACCCTTGCTGCCACCAGCGCCCGCCTTCAGTGCTTCTTTGACCAGAAACAAAAGACGTTGGTTTCTGAATTGGCCGATGATGCGGCCGTGCTTGACGAAGTCCTGCCTTGGGTCTCGAACGGGCCCCGCCTCTTACATCCTATCTGTTCTGATTTCGCTTCTTACTCTGTCTGCTGCGGGATGCGTCTCTAGCAGATAGAAGTAAAGCTGCCGCTCCGTCATTGCTTCATTCGGGTCCTTCAGGTCGGGTGAGCGCCGGTTGAGGCCGTTCTGTAAGGAAGCTTCGAACCAAATTCAGATTCTAAGTCATGCGCATTCCCAAATCCAGCATCTGCGTACCTTAAAGCTGAATCAGGTCAAGCCTCTCCCGCTGATACGCGATGGCACGGACCATCGCCTCAGAGGTTTTGAGCCGGCGGATGTGCGACCTCGGTTTGGGAAACTGTGAACATCCATGAGATCAGCTTGCTGCAGGCACCTCGCAAGACCACGGACAAACTCTACTTGGCAGTCCGTGCTTGGCTCCCTTTGAAAATGCCAGGGGTGAGCCCTGTCGGTACGTCCATGCGCAAAGGCCCAAAATCATGGCTGCTGCTTTTATTGGGCTCTCGCTGGTGGTCGCTCGCGGTTGATTTCGTCGCAAAGCTCGTGCTGACGAATGGAGTCATGTTTTGCCCGGTCACTACGCCAAGAAGTGTTGTTGGCGTTGACCAGTCGTCCACATAGCTGCAGCAGCAGTAGTAGAAGTAGAAGTAGAGGTAGAAGTAGAAGTAGTAGAAGTAGTAGTAGAAATAGTAGCAGTAGTAGTAGTAGTAGTAGTACTAGTAGTAGTAGTAGTAGTAGTAGTAGTAGTAGTTGTTGTAGTAGTAGGCGCCCCCCCTACCAACTACACTTCCTCAAAACCATCTTAAGAGCACATCCGTTTTACTCGGTATTTACAGCACTTTCGTCATGTACGATCATCATAAGAAGCCTCAAAATCGACTTGCCGAGTTTACAAACTCGGCCTCCTGATTTTGGACTTGCTTCTGGCGGGGGTGAGGGGGTGGGGGGGTGGGGGGGGGATGATGACGACAGTGCGACGCAAACACAACCAACAATATCAC